TTCAGCAGGTTTTTCCATCTTACTCAGTGCCTCTTTAATCATACAGATAAACTTGCATCTTTCATCCACAGGACTGTGGTCTGTCTCTTTGCTTTGACGTGTCTCCCTTGGGCCCCTGGCCTCCAGGTCTTCACGTCTATTGCACCTGTCAGAGAGCTGCATTTTTACTTGATTAATCTGGTGCTGATTTGATACACAAAGTTTGCACAAATACATTTCAGTCTCTCTGCTCCTCGAGGCAAAAACTGTGCAATTCTTAGCTCAGTAACCTTCTAAATTAACCCAACCATTAAGACGAAAGGCTCCATAGTTGGAAATCAAGAAGTTATCACTTTCATTGTGTGGATTTCTGAGTTATTTTATAGATTTGTGGGCTGTAATTGAAAGTCTGTGAATGTGAAAAAAGCCTGTGTGACCAAGTTACCATGGATGGAAAGAGAAAGTCTGAAATAAATAGGAATAATTGAATTGCAGTGAATTAAATTGGAGGTGGACTTAGCACACATAGAGAGAGAGTGAGAAAGATGAAGTGCGTGTATGAGAAAGAAAGAGTAACATATTGTAATAGATTGTTTTAAAATACAACATGCCAAGATTAGATTACATTTGTATATAACTTTCTAAAAACATGATCTTCGTATGATAAATGACATTTTTATAAAATACATATTAAATAAATGTATAAATTTGCAGTAGCTAAGTTTAGAGAAGCCATACAATAGAATACTATATTTAATTATATAGTAAGTGTATATCAAACGCAAGGAATTCGGCCAGGGGATCCTTGACTATAGCCTACTCCTCAGGTCTGCGTCTAGTGAAGAAGTGCTCCTTTTGGGTGTTCCCACTCTGTTAATGGCCCGGGTGAGAGTGGATGAAACTCCTCTGAGCAGACAGGGATCAGTTTGTGTAGCGTTCTGCCTGTGGAGGATCCGTAACATCAAGCTCATTTTAGTCACTCTCTGGCAAAGAAACAAAAGCACAAGCCTCAGTTTAAGTCGAGAGAAGAATATCTACCGCTTCTGTTTCCACCGGGGTTTATATCCTTATAGGAGATTGACTGATTGCCATCAGCTGGGCTTGGTGATTTCTCCTCAGCTCGTTTGTGTGTGTTGCCAGGGTGACATATGATGAGCTGCTGGCAACTCATCACAATATAGAGTATATAGTTGTGTGTGTGTGTGTGTGCTACATAGTATAACAAATGAAAAAAATATTTCAACAACTTTCTAAACAGTGTGATTTAAAAACAAATCGAAACTAAATGTCAAATAACACTTATATTTTCAATAATACATTACTGATATTGTGTCAAAAGATTAAGGAACATATTGTATCTTGATTAATTCAAAAAGTACTCAAAAGCATATATTATAAATTTAAGCAATTATGTATTCGTCCAAAACAACATTTCTGTATTGAACCAAATTGAAGTCATTGAGCTTCATCTGTATGACTTTTAATAACTTTAACATTCATTTTGTATTATGAACCACAACACGTAAAAGCTAGGTTTCATTACGCACCGCATGTATGTGTCTGACATAAAAGCGGCGCGTGCCTCAGCAGCGCGCGGACGCGCTTCATGCTCATCGGAGTATAAAAGAATGTGCGCGCGCTGCAGAGCGCTCAGAGGTGCGCGAGAGAGAGGGAATGATGAGACCGCGCTCTCGCTGCCGGTGAAGTAGTTATGCATGCTGACAGACAAAGTGCGGTGGTCACAATGAACTTGAGATAAATTAGTTTCTTCCTTTGCATAATTTCACCATGACAACGGACTGAGTGGAAGCCTGCCATGGAGAGGAATAACACCACACAAACTCTGGGAGAATGTGAGCACACACTGGACACCAGCGCGGCACTGGACAATTGTACGGATGCTGCCAGTGGGAACCTATCTTTACGTTGCTGGCTGCATTTGTTGACAAAGGAGTCTAGTTCAACATTACAAGGTGATGGGTCTAGTTTGGCTGTGCGTGTGATGATCGCCCTCATTTATTCAGTGGTGTGCGCTCTGGGGCTTGTAGGCAACTCTCTGGCGCTCTACCTGCTGCACTCACGCTACCGGCAGAAGCAGTCTTCTATCAACTGCTTTGTGATGGGTCTGGCTCTAACTGACCTGCAGTTCGTCCTAACCCTACCGTTCTGGGCCGTAGACACAGCGTTGGACTTCCGTTGGCCATTCGGCAAAGTTATGTGCAAAATCATCAGCTCAGTCACCACGATGAACATGTACGCCAGTGTATTTTTCCTGACCGCCATGAGCGTGGCCAGGTACTATTCCATTGTGTCCTCGCTGAAGATGCACAGTCGCCGAGCAGCGGCGGCTGCGGCCAAGTGGATCAGCTTGGGCATTTGGGTCGTATCCCTGATAGCAACCCTCCCACATGCAGTTTATTCCACGATAGCCCAAGTTGCGACAGACGAGGAGCTGTGCTTGGTCCGCTTCCCTGAAACGGGAAGCTGGGACCCACAGTTGCTGCTAGGACTGTACCAGTTGCAAAAGGTCCTGCTTGGGTTTCTGATCCCACTGGTGGTGATCACCGTTTGCTATCTCTTACTTCTAAGAATCGTGCTAAGCCGTAGGATTAGCGGCGTGGCTGGCTCCGAAAGTGAGCAGGGGCGGCACAAGCGGCGCTCGAAGGTTACCAAATCGGTTGTGATCGTCGTCCTGTCATTCTTTTTGTGTTGGTTGCCCAATCAGGCCCTTACTCTGTGGGGCATTCTTATTAAGTTTGACCTGGTGCCCTTCAGCAAGGCCTTCTACAATGCCCAGGCATATGCTTTCCCGCTAACTGTGTGCTTGGCCCACACAAACAGTTGCCTCAACCCAGTGCTCTACTGCCTGATTCGCCGCGAATTCCGGGCCGGACTCAAAGAGATCCTGCTGAGGGCCACGCCGTCTTACCGAAGTCTTGCCCGGCTGCTCCCACGCAAGGCCAAAGTAGCCGAGGCACCTCCTGTACTGGTTCTCGTGCAGATGGATGTTTGAAAAAGCAGATCCTTCACGTTCATCTTTGTTTTTGATTGACAGGACGAAGCAGGCATGAAGAACGTCCTTTGGGAGCTGCCCCACTTTCCCTTCCACTCG